TGTTCTCCAAAGTAGACCACATACTAGCTCACAGAACATGCTTAAGTAAATGGGAAAGCTTGAAATTATCCCATGCATATTATCAGACCATAGCACAATGAAATTGGAAATCAATGGCAAAAGAAACCACAAAACTTCATAAGCACATGGAAATTAACACCCTCCTGAACAGATGAAATTAAGAAATTAGATAGTTTCTAAAATTACACAATAATGCCATTACAACATACCAGAACTCATATGATGCAATGAAAGCAGTCCTATGAGGGAAATTTATAGCATTAAATTCCCATGTCAGAGAAGCAGAACAAACTCAAATAAATAACCTAATGTTGAACCTCAAGCTTCTAGAACAAGAAGAGCAAGTCAAGCCCAAAACTGATAGGAGGGAAGCAATTATAAAGATTAGAGCAGAAATTAATGCAATTGAGACTAAGAAAATAATACAAAGAAGCAACGGATTGAAGATTTGGTTCTTTAAAGGACTAAATAAAATTGACAAGCCTTTAGGCAACCTTATAAAAAAAAGGAAAGAAAAGACTCAAATCCATGCAATTAGGAACGAAAAAAGTGAAATTACAACAGATTATTCAGAATTCCAGAAGTCATTAATTCCTACTTTGAGAACCTATACTCTAATAAGATGGAAAACAGAAGGAATGGACAGATATATATGAATTACCAAAGATACATAAAAAGGTATAAAGATTCTAAATAACCCAATATCAGCCAATGATATTGAAGATGTAATTAAAAACCCACCCCCCCAAAAAAAAACCCAGGCCCTGATAAATTCACTGCTGAATTCTACAAGAAATTTAGAGAAGATGTAATGCCACCATTCCTCAAACTTTTTAAGAAAATTGAAAGGGAAACAATATTCCCAAACTTCTAGAAGCAAGCATAACCCTGATACCCAAACAAAAGGATCTAAGCATAAAAGAGAACTACAGACAAATCTCCCTAATGCACATAGTTACAAAAATCCTTAATAAGATATTGGCAAACAGAATTCAGCAAATCATCAAGAAGATTATACACCATGCCCAAGTAGGGTTCATCCCAGTGTTGCAGCGATGGTTCAACATATGCAAATCAGTAACTGTAATATACCATATTAACAGAGCCAATGACAAAAACCACATGATCATTTCAACAGAGGCAGAAAAAGCATTTTGCAAACTTCAGCACCTACTCATGATAAATACCCTACAGAAAATTGGAATAATATTTATCTCAATCTGATAAAATTCATCTATGGCAACACTAAATGGTCAAAAACCGAAAGCTTTTACTCTAAAATTAGGAACAAGAGAAGGGTGTCCACTATCACCACTCTTATTAAGCATAGTTCTGGAACCACTCGTCAGATCAATTAGACAAGAGAAAGAAAAGGAATAAAGATAGGAAAGGAAGAATTTATCATTATTTGTGGATGATATGATATTCTACATAGAAGATTCCCAAAACTCCACCAAAAGACTTCTAGGTTTAGTAACAAAATTCAGTAGCATAGCCAGATACAAAGTCCAACACTCAAAAATCAATAGCATTCCTGTACACATATAAACTCACTGAGAAAGAAATTAGGAAAACCACACCTTTCGTGATGGCAACCAAAAAAAAAGAAAAAAATAAATACTTAGGACTCATTCTAATGAAAAAAGTAAAAGACCTTTATATTAAAAACTACAGTACTCTGAAAAGGGAGATGGAGGATATTGGAAAATGGAAAGATATCCTTTGTTCTTGAGTAGGAAGAACCAATATAGCAAAAATGGCCATACTTCCAAAATTTTTATACAGATTTAATGCAATTCCAATCAAAATACCACTAACATATCTTACAGAACCAGAGATGACAATCTTAAAACTCATTTGGAACCAGAAGAGACCTAGAATAAAGAAGCAATTCTGGGAAGCAGAAGCAAGGTATGGGCATAACAATTTTTTACTTGAAATTATATTACAAAGATACTGTGATAAAAACAGCCTGGTCCTTGCAAAGAAACAGACCCAGGGATCAACGGAACAGACTATAAGATGTAGAAACAACTCCAGACACACTCAGTCATGTTATCTTTGACAAATGGGCTAAACATCTTTACTGGAAGAAAGATAGCTGTTTAAATAAATAGTGCCAGAAAAACTAGCTTTTCACATGCCAAAGACTAAAACTAGACTCATATTTCTCCCCATGCACTTGAAATGAATCAAATATCTAAATATTAAAACAGAAACACTAAATCTGTTGGAAGATAGAATAGGTATAATTCTTGAAGACATAGATGTAGGCAAATATTTTATGAACAAAAGCCTGAAAAATATCAGAAAATATCACAGAAAACAGTGCAAAGAATCAGCAGCTGGGATTTCATCTTTTTAAAAAGCTTTTATAGGGCCAGAGATTTAGCTCAGTGTTGCAGGTGCCTGCCTCACAAGTGCAAGGTCCCAACTTCAATCCGCAGTACAAAAAAAAAAAA